GGGGCCGCGCCGTGGCACGGTGCCGGCGGCTCCGCGCGGGGCCCTGCCCTCGGGTTTCCCTTCTGTTTCTCCGCTCCGTGGCGAGGATGCGGGCCGCCGACTGGTGCCTGAGCGCGGCGGGCGCTGCCCTCGTCATGGCCACCTCCAGCGACCCGCGGCACCCGGCCGGAAACGTGGCGGACGGGTGAGGGCTGCGGGCTGCGGCCGGCCGGGCCCCTGCGGGCGCGGAGAGCCGCATCGCTGTGAGCCGTGCGTGGTAGCGCTGGACGGTGCTCGTGTCGCCCTTCTGTGACCTGAATTCTGCGGCCCCGCTGTCACGCAGCCCGATTTGGGGTTACAGCACCCCAAAGAAAGAGGCTTTCCCGTTCTTTGTTCCGTTTCTCGAGGGGGGAGATCTCTTGGAAGATGGCCGTAAGCAAAGAGCCACAAGGGGTGGTTTTGTGCTGTTCTCTCCACAGAAGTTCCGAAACGTTCTGGACGACAACAGGGATGTTCCCACAGGAGTTCATCATTGGCTTTCCCAAACGTGTGACCGTCAGCAGAGTGGCGATCCAGTGCTACCTGGGTAAGGGCTCCTGGAGCAGCAGGTGGCTCACGTTCAGGGCACACGTCTGCTCAGCTATACCTCCTCAAAGCGCCGTTTTATTATTGAACAGTCACATTTAGCACGCTAATGCATCACAGAACCATTAAGGCTGGAAAAAACCTTTCAGATCCCCACCCCCCCCTGTGCCCACGTCCCTCAGTGCCACATCCCCACGGCTCTGGAACGCCTCATGGATGGTGACCCCTCACCGCTCCCTGGGCAGCTGAGCATCACTGCTCTTCCTGAGAAGAAATATCTCCTGACACCCAACCTGAACCTCCCCTGAATAATAAAGATACAGCTTAACAAAACAGTTGATCTCCACATCTGTTTTGCTTCTGTAGATGTTTCAGAAAAGATGGATAATCGGCCCCACCTGCATACTGTATTATTGCAGCACCTTAAGGTTATCTTTTGTAGCACAGTGATGTCTGATCCATTTTATACACAGAACTGCAATACTTACTGTTTTAATGATTAATTCTGAGCATTGACTTTTATAATTTTACTTCTTAAAGTAGAGACCAAAAGGACTGACCTGAGGTCAGAGCATGGGGACGGGCTCTTGGCCATCAGCTGGCAACTTGTCATTGGTTGTCTGCCCTCAAACGTGAGCGTGGTGGTTGTCTCATAGTCCTGTGCCCTACGTTAGAGCAGGAATTAATTGTAAGATGCTTTGTAGATGAAACATCATGCAATAAACTTAAAGATCGGTGAGCCTCAGGGTTTATGTTGATATTTTAAATGCATGTGTATTTTAGTGCGGACCTTAAGGATTGAAAGAAGCGTATCAAAAGACCCAGTAGACTTTGAAGAGTGCATTGAAAAAGGTAAGGTTCTGAGCCTGAAGTGGTTCCAGCCCCAGAACAGTGTCATGCTTTGGTAGAGCCTTGTCCCCTACATTTCTTTTGTTATTTTCAGTTAGTCTTTTCTATGATGTATTTCACAGGAATCCCAATTTCCTTGCAGAAGTTCCTGGTGACATTATACTGCGGGGTAGTCCTTGCAGTCAGGTATTTACGTTTTGACAATAGTTGCCTGAAACACTTTGGTGCTGACTGGAGGGATCTGTCTCTTCTCGCTGAACAGTGTCACATTTTTGGAGTTCCCCATCTGTATCCCCAAACATCCACTGAAAACATGGATGCTGGAAAATAGCTGGGCTTCCTCTCATGTAGCCTCATGCTGTGCAGTGCCATTTTCTCAGCTTGAAAACTGCCTTTTCAGATGGCTAATGGTTAACAAATGTACTGGGTAACAGTGCATTTTTTGCTTTCTTGTAAGGTCAAGTCTTAATTTTATGCCTTTGATTAAAAATGCAGCATATCAAATTATGCTGCTTAGATTTTAGGGAGGTTCTGTTGATCCGCACAGATGAAACTACCCTGTTTATTGTTACTGATGCACTTTTAATTTTTCAGTGAGTCCTTTTAGCTCCATGTGTGTTTATTGGGCGTTTGTATCAGGCTTGATTATTTTGTTAGAAGTTAATTTAATAGACATTTAAGTACATTTTATGAACGCTGATAGGCTGCTGAGCTGTTTGGAGATGTAGAATGCTGTACAAGGGTTACAGACATTACTTGTACACTCTTTCATTTAAAAAATTGAAAACAGACTCATATGGTATAATAGAGTGCCTTTTCCTGCTTTGTTATGTATTCTTTTAAATGCCCCTTGGGTGATGTCCTACAAAACAGTGTAATGAGTTGTATTTTTACACTGGGATATTGCAGAAAGTATTTGTTCTCTTAAATCACCTTGTAAAGAACAATTTCTGTGTGTTGTATCAGTTCACGGTCCTTAAATTCTCATGGACTCTTATTCTGGTGGACATTTTTCACAGCACTGCACCCCGTTCCTTATTATTTGCTGAAAAAAAAAATGTATTTTCTAGATTTGCAACACACAGAAGGACAGCTTCAAATGGAAGAGTTTCCAGTGAGTATACACGGGATGCACCATGGTGCTTCATGGGATAGGATGTCTAAGCTGGGTGTAAGCTGTGACGAAAACGCGATCGTTGCCAAGCTGACATGAGATGTAGGGATTTATCAGTTGTGGAATGTCATTGCCTGCTTCTCTGTTGATTATGGTGTGAAATTGCACCTGCATTCTGCTCCTAAGTGAGTGACAGAGCTCTCTCCAGAAGAGTGGCAGTGTGTCCTCCCTCAGCTGTTGTCTTGAGGGCTGCAGTATTAAGGGTGGGAAGGGACAGCTGTTTGGAATTGCTCTCGTCCGAAGAAGCTCTGAAGCTGCATATACTAGAAGAACTTACCTGACATTTAGGAAATAATCATCTCTATCTTTGTAACACGCTTCTGCAAGTAGTTTGATAGTTCTGTTACTACTGGGAATGAGCTGATGTTGTGTTTTTTCTTTACAGCTTCCTGATTTCCAGGCCACTTATTTGCGATTCATCATCAAATCTGCCTTTGATCACTTTGTGTCAGTGCACAGGGTGATGGCAGAGGGCACAGCAGAAGACACTTAAGTCTGGCTTAAATTTGTACCTCATCTTTTTGGTCTTATATTTTGATATCTCTGTCAAAGGAAATATTTATTACAAGCTAGTATTAAAGTGTTTTTGAAGATACAGAGGTAGTACGTGTTAACCATCAGTTTATTATATTGAACACAGTGCTCTCATTAATTGTAGTAAGAGATTTTATAACCTAGAGTGTTAAAAAAACTTGAATGTAACCAGATCCATTTAAATAACTGTGTTTAGCTCACGCTTTCTTAATACATGAATTAAAACTCATTTTTCTGTGAGATGTTTCCCTTGCATTCTGAGTAGAAAAGGTGTGAAAAACTTAAATGTCAAAGAAGCTCTTCAGAAGTTCTTAATTGGAAATTTTCTCATCAACTCAAACTGTTTAATAGGATGAATGGAAGCTACCAGTGCTTGTAAATAACCAGGAGGAAAAAAACAAGCGAGAACCATGGTGGTCTGAAAGGTTTGTTTGTTTATTTGTTTCCATGATTGAGACCAATCCTTTGTTTCTAAAAATATTTTACAAAATCAGGTCACAGCTGTCTGTGCTTTATGCTGTGACCGTCATAACAAATACTATAGAAACAAATGTCAAGAGATTGTCTCATTCAGAAGCCTTCTAAAGTGAGTGAAACTGAATGTTTAGAAAAATGGTGTGTATACAAGAGAGAAACTTAATAATGTGAAATCAGTTGTTTTGCATGACATTGGCTCTTGCAAATGGCACCACCCCTAAGGCTTGTCCTGCACCGTAGGAATGTGGGTGTTGGTATCCAGTCATAACAGCTCAATGGATTCCAGTGGCGCAGGAAGATGGACGTAAGCACAGCAGCTGAGGTGGCTGTGATAGACCTGAACATCTCCAGACACACAGATGATGAACCACGTTACAGATGGTCTTCAAATGCACTTACATTATTCTCTTTCTAGTTGTTTCTAGTATCTTGAGATTTTGGTTTTTTTAACTCTTAGGTCTATGAAAACTGATCCATTGAGCTTTTACATCCAGATAGTCTTTGCTCTGATGTCCTCTTTCTATTTCAGTTTTCCCAGGACGGTGCGTATTTCCTGGGGGTGGTAATTCCAAGGCCCCACTCCTCCCTGCAAAGGCAATAAGTTATACAGTGAAGCTCAGACACACAGAGCAGAAGTCTTTATAGCTCAGTGCTTAAATCAGAACGGCGGGTGGCTGTGCTTGGGCTTCCTTTGCTTGGCAGCCGTTGTGCAGGAGATGGTGTGTGCACAAGTCACACCCTGCTGTGTAACTGGGACAGGGCCCGTGTCTGGCTCCTGCAGCTGGGGAGTGTGCCTGGATCTTGCATTTAGATGTAGCTAGGTTTTCTAATAAGCCACAAGATAAATATTTGAGCAGGACTGAGGTGTACATTAAATATGTACATTGTGAAGGCCCAGACTGGTTTTGCTGCAAGTCCTTTTTTTCCCCTATGGTTACAATGAATTGTGAAACGACTAGCTATGAAACAGAGTGAAATACTGACTGCTGAATAGAATGTAAGACATTTTAACAGTTGAGGATCTCAGTATGTTGTGCTTGTTATTGTTGGTGGTTTTTACCTTGTAGATAACATTCCCTGCTTGAAGTACATACAGTCTTTCTGGCAGTGCTGCATATTTTGAACTGCTCGGGTTTTCCATTGTGTCTAAAACCACTGGACATAAGGGATTCTTCTGCTGAAGAAATTGTGCTGCAGTTTTTCGATCCTCAAGGCTTCTGTGATTTTTAATAACAGCATTGTTTTTGAAGGCCCATCCATCTAAAGCAAATGAGAAAGGTATTTAGCAATGCAGTTCAGGTGTTGGGGTAGAGATGTACTGTGTCATGTATTGCAATTTTCTCCTGACAACAAAATTTGCTATGAAATGAGACTTCTTAGAGTGTGAGAATGGTACAGCTTTGAAAATAAATGATCCCAAGTTTCTTTACTCTGAACAAACAGTATTCCCATTTGTCCTGGATTCAGAAACACCAGGTGTATTTTAGCTGAAATTTTCCCACCTAAGCCCAGAAGGATACCAGGTATGGGAGCTATAGCCCACCTGGATAAAGTTTGCCAAAATTAGTGCTGCAGAGAAGGGGGGTTTTTAAATAAGAAGTCATGATATTAGCTGCTCCCTGCTCACTTAGCACAGTTTCAGCAATAGCACCATTCATTCAGCTTGACTCTACCATTTAAGCCTATTAAAAAAACCAATTCCAATCTGGGATAAATACACTGGGTAGAAGGCACATCCTCCTTCTTCAGAAATATTCAGATACACATTTGCATACAAGTTCCTAGGAAAGGAGAAACATGTAAACCATTTTAACGACTGGAGTCTGCATCTCAACTACTGTAAATAACGTGTTGTTAAAAAAGTGACGTTTTAGAAAACCACCTCAATCATGGGCTAAAAATCTCTGCCAGTGTCTTAGCTCAGTGTAGATAAATATGTGTATGCTCTATTCTCTTTATTTTTTCCCCAAAGGAGCTGTACTAAGACCAGGAGGAAGTTTTGCACAGCTTTAACTGTGTGCTTTGCTTCACAGAGATGAGTGTCTTCAGCGGCAGCGCCTCAAGTCAGATGTGTGAGTGAAGTCCTTGGGGAATCAAGGGCAAAAAGTGCTGCCTAGGTTCAATGTTATTGTCATTGATTCTTGATTGTTTGCAGTTCCCTCCTCTGCTAAATTACTTTTCTTCCTAAAGGGAATGTTATATATCAAAAGTTCTGGTAGGTGCTGATGTGATTATTTGTACTGTACCTACTGCGTGAGCTTCTTCAATGTAGATGATAAGGAAATCTGCTACAGAGCTGAAATCTTTGACAAGTCTGTTGAACTCATGAAAGTGTAACATAAATGAAGGTCAGGTGCAGCTTCCAAAATTGAGGATTAAAGGTCGGTTATCTGGAAGAAAAACGTGGGACACTTTGTGGTTACATCGATGGAGGGAGGAAGGACAGAACTAAATTAATACACTGAGTTGAGCCTCTGCCACAGTGTTTCCTGTGTGACTAAATCACTTGTCACATAACTTTCTTCCTAGGACATTGAAACTGATAGCAGAACATCTGTATCACCAGGTTTCTCTACAAAACAAGCATAAGGATGCTTGCTTTTCCTTCAGCTGAAGCTGACTGGTGCAGGTTCCATCCAATAGTGAGCTTAACCAGGGAGCATCCTTTCCTGTGTAACACCTGGCAAAGGCAGAACGTACCCTATAGACAGATGTCTTCCCTTGTGTTATCATCACAAGAACCGTTTCTCAAGCTACCAGCATTTTGGCTTAGGGATCAAAAATGGATGTACAGGATGTGGCACCTCACAGCCTCCTTGACATCCTTCATGTGAAGGAATTTTAAGAAGTATTAAATGTGATCGTTCTGGAAAGTTTCTTGAAGGACACTGATTCAGAGATGGATGTCTAAGCACAAATTATGAATTCTTTTAATGAACCTTCCAGACATTTTTTTGTGGTGTCATTTGTAGCTGAGCTGAGTGAAAGCTGCAGCCCTCTCAGTCATGCATCACAGGCTTGCATGCTTTCAATGTATTTCTGCAATTTCCTGTCCAAACAGAACTTTGCTTATATATTTATCAAACTAATGCTACCCAAGCCTGGGGCAGAAGTATCTATGCAGTTGCTTACAAATTAGCACATGCGTACCCACATTTGCTAGCATCTGTTCAACTGATTGCAGGGTTCAGTTTAAGAAAACTTGCAGGATTTTTAGTCTGTGGTCATGCTAGATTATCTCAAGTGCGTTCGAGATGTTCCTTCTGGCTGAGTTTAGCTTCACAAGCTGCTGCTAGCATAGATTTGCATCTTAAAGAAGCTAAGAAACAGGGTGCCTTCCTGTAGGTACTGTGTATGTACTGCTGTTTCTATCTTGCAACTCTATTTTATTTCTCTGTCTGTCTTTATATATACACATATAAATTAGAAAAGCAGAGTTGGAGAAGGATTTAATCCCTCCCATGGAGACAGAGACTGCAGCTTAATGATTAATTCCATGTTCTACAGAGATTTCAGTGGGAGGCAGAGGACAAAGTACAAAGCAACTTCTGCTTAATTTCTAGCTCCTTTAAATCTGCAAAAACACCCTGTGCTTTCTAGGCTTTAGCCTGGCTTCTGGGACTTTCCTTACGTGCAGGCAATGCCAGCCAACGGTCGTGACTCACTGCATATGGTTCTGATTCTGGGTCTTATCTTCTGAAGAGAAACAATTATCTTGGCTGTCAGGATTTCTAGGAAGGGACAGGCTTTTGCAAGATCTCTATGAGCTCACTGGCGTGCAGGGATATTGTATGTGGGACAATGAGCTGGTTACTTCAAGGGATCAAGAGGCAGAGAGCTGAGAGTGCACGGCACAGCAGCCCAAGGTAACAGCATTCATTTGAAGGCAGAAATGCACTGCTTGTCCTCAACCCCTCGGCAGCCTCTTGTCCTCATAGATCCTTCTAACAACCCCAAACCGGTACAAGGGTGATGTACTGACCTCGCATGAAACTCAAGAGCTGCCGGATCTCCCCATTTAGAGCCACCACCGGTGTGTTGGGAGCAGGGTGTCCCTCGTAGGCTTCGTCCTCCAGCCTCCTCCACTTCACTTTCAGCACAAAGAGCAAATACTGGAAGCTGAAAAAAGTCGGCCCCCAGTTTTCGTAGCTGAACTTTGGGTTCTGATTCATTCTGCTCTTTTCTCCCAGCTTTAGGATGTATCTTTTCATGGTGTCAGGGAACAGGATCATCATGGTTTTACCAACAACAACAGACAGAGTAACCTGCAAAAGAATCAGGAGTTTCTGTAGTAGCACCTTGATGCTGAACATCGTGCCTGAGGTCTGGCTGCTTCAAAGTGACCACAGCGTGGCAGCGAGGGCAAAGGCAGTGAGGTGGGAAAGGGGGCGGGGAGTAATTTCTAGTGTTTGGCTGAACTTCTGCCTCGTCTCGAACTGTTCTGCACTTTTAAGTGGGCTCCAGCGCCTGCCTGAGCGAGGAGCCCGCAGCTGCACTGCCCCCATTCACAGCAAGGCAGCAAGGCAGAGGTTCCTGGTGCAGCTCACAGGTGTGTACATCATTAATGAAGCGGGGTGCTTTCCCCGGTTAAAAGTAAGAATTGGATCATACGTACGAAGTATGTACAAATTGTATGCACGCACGTGTATGTATGTCATGTTTATTTTTATATGGTGCACTGAAACCTACATCTACGTTCTCGTAGCTCTGTAAGCTATACGCGCAGGTACGTACGCAGTTACTACGCAGACGCCGCAGCCCTT